TTATTATTATTTTAAAAAAAAACATGTAAAGCATTATAAACAGATAGTATAGAGCAGTAAAATGTATAGGCTGGTGAATAGTTTTGCTACGATGATTTTATTTATATTCATAACTACTACATATATTTTATTTGAAATCCTGAACACACGATTGTAGCACATAAATTTTCACCGTTTTAAAAATACAAAAAAAATGTTAAAGACATTTTTGCTATTGCGATATTCTACTAAATCTTTGTTATCCACAACATAAATAGATTTTCATAATAATTTGTAACAACGTTATTGACAAATAACAGATATTATTCATTAGACTACCCTTAAGAAATTCTTACAGAAGATGTTCTAACCTAAACAATGTTCTAAATAAGACAAATTATATTTGTTATCACAGTAGTTATATACGATTCTACTAAAATTTCCAGAAGTAAATTTCTAAGCCTAACCTGTTTCCCAGCCCCCAATTCGCCCGGTCTTCCCTTTTTCTAGACGACAAAAATAGTAATTTAATATTTTTAAAATACAAAATGTGTAACAATGTTTGTGTATAAGAGTTAAATATTATTATATCATGATTTGTGCAGAAAATTGCATTTGCCAACGCTCGATGGACGTGTAAGCACAACAAGTCAAAGCTTTAGGTGAAAAATAATCGATCAATAAATAATCAATTACACCACGCAGACGATTACAATTTTTTTGGAATTAAAAAAGCATAATTATCGAATTTTCAGTCAATGCCACATCAAAAGGTCAGTTTTGTGTGTAATAACACAAATCTCACCTTCGAATCAATAACCTCACCAGGACGTAATTTTCCAACCTAATGAATGAACAGAAAGAAAAGTAGCATTAAGATACATACAGAGCATAGAAAAGAATAGACAAGAAAAGATAGAAATTTTTGTGAAAAATGAATATCTAGGACTTAAGGACGAGAAAGGTAAAATTTACCTTTTTTCGACCTCGTGACCTTGGATATTCAGTGGTAAGAAATATGTAGATCTTGGCTTTTAAAATTTAATAAGCATAAATACACAACATATATATATTTAAGGTAATTCTTACATTTATATTTATTTTGTGTATTTATGCTTGATATATTAGTGTGAATATTACTTATAAAGAGTATAGAAAATTAAAATGGTGTAGAGAATTTCATGATTTTTGCAAGTAATAGAATAGAAGTCATGAGTAAATAGTAATAGAGATAATCATGTGTCATACAAAAATGCGACATTGATGTTTTTACATTTGCATAAACATTTATATCAGCATTTTTTATCAAAGTATAACCGTTTAAAAATATACTGGCCAAAGACATTATTCATGCCAGTTGTATACTGTGGCATATCAAATAATCACATAGATTCATAGGAATTATACTTGTGATTGCTTGTAAATAAATAAATAAATAAAATTCATATTGATATCTTAAAAACGGCAATACTCGGTGCATTTCAAAATAAACGAGACTTGAGTCAGATATTTTTTAACTGAAGTAAATTTCTTTAACAAGTGGTATTTGAACGATCCGTTTAACAAAAATGGATTTCATACACGTTACTCTTTTTCTGTATTTTATCTATGTGCAAAAGGAGAAGCTATGGAAAAAGCTTCTACCAATATCCTTAAAGCTATTCCGACGATTGATTTTGAAAGCTTGTACAAAACCCGGTGGCGATTTTAAATAAATAATCTCCAATTTTCAAGACTATATTCCAGTCGTTATTTTTTTATCTAGTCTCGTTTATTATTGATGTATTGTAGTTGAAGAGATAGTTGAAGTCGGTGATTGCTTTAACGTGCGATGCATTTATGCAGGATGCCCCCATAACCAGCCACATCAGACTTCCAAAGACCATTGAGTTAGTGCTAGTCTGTTTAATATTTATAATAAAAAATGGAAAAAGCTGCTGAAGATTGTTACCTTCCGCTCATCTATCAACTCTCCTGGTCGGAGTTTTCGATGCTCCTAGAATACGCAGCGATCCATTTTCAATAAAAAAATATAAAATTGTGTTATCGTCATGTGTAGAATATATATATATATTATATTATATATATATATATATATATATATATATAATTGGTGTATGTAATTTTTTTTGCTACTGGGACACACGTTTTAGTTCTACGGGTCAGGTCTTTCAACAAACTTTGCTTTAGAAACCATTGCTCGCAAGTAAATTTCAAGCCAGTGAAATTTTCCTTCGAGTTTTTGCTCCATATTTTTGAATATTAACTCGTAACTATCTCACATCTACTTATCTGGAAATTTGATAAAACTATACAAGGTTATAGAGTAGTTAGTTAAAACAAACCCTCTGAATTATATGGAAAATGAAATAAATTGCTAGTGAGATTCAAAAATGTAAAGGTTGGAAATATGAAAAATAATAATGAAAAATCTCAATATATCGACAGTAAACAATACACCTATTTTTCTAAATTTTAATCAATTAATAATATAATTTAACCGTTCCTTATAACTCTACAATATTTCAAAGCATTTTTAACCTTATAACTATGCGAAGTTTTATCAATTTTCCATACACGAAAACATGAGAATCTCGTAAGTTGGTTATCAAGTATACGAAGAAAAAAAATTTATTGAAAATTCGACGCAGACCGAAACGTATAGATTTAATAAACCTGTAATTTTTATTTACTAGTCATAACCAGCGCATTTTTTGCGTACATAAATTTTTGAAAGTATAAAATATTACAACATTTCAAAATATGTTGTGGCTGAGTGTATATGTCATATTTTAACTAGTGCATAAATTATAAATTTATATGTATAAAATTACTCATTGTACTAGTATGATTTACCTCGTCGCTGATGATAAGACTTGGTCTACGTCCGCCTTCCTCAGGTGGAATAAGCGAACCTCTGCGACTGTTTTGCCTGATCCAGGAGCCAAAGAGCCCTTTCTACCGTCCAAAGTCGGTGTCTTCTCCCTTATAACTTCGATCTTAGGAGCAGTCTTTGGTGTTTTAATTTCAGGAACTTTCACTTCCTTAGCCTCCTATTCACACACAAAACAACTTCATTTCTTATTTCCTACATCACTAGTAATGTAAAACTTATTTTCTACATCATGTTTCAATTTAATTCTGCACTAAGTACTAGTCATTGTCCTATCCACAAACCGAATGCGAATAAATCTTGTTAGATCTTAAGCAGAATATAATAAAATGAGTCCATCATAATCTAGGGGGGCAATGTTACATATCTCGTTATCGAAAATAGGCCAATATTGAAAAGCTGCAACATGAGCCCAAAGTCAATACAATGATGTTGTATTATACTCGCGAAGATAGTTGTATGATAAAGTTAAGGTTTTGGCAGATAGACAAATCAGAAGCGATTAGATTGTTTAATAACCGAATGTTGCTAAAATTACATTTAAGTACTCTTATTATCTATGAAGTACTATGTAGTAATCAACATACTGATTAAATAAAATACAAAGGTAAAAATAGGTAATAAATAGTTTATGAAGTGAGCTGCAATGATTTTGATATTTGTTATATTGGCGTACGTTTACAATACGTTTTAAAGATAATAAATTCAAAACTATGTGTTTGAATGTATTATTAATTTTTGAAACACTTTAAGATTTAAGATCGGTGCCGACATTCGTGGACGACAAAATCCTTCTGGATGAAAAAATTTTACTCAAACAAGACAAGCCACTTAAATTGAATAAAAATAATATATACCAATCAGGAAAAAGCTTCGAAATATAAAAAGTATAAGAACAAAATCTTTACCAAAGTAAAGTAAATAAAATTAAACTGGTGATGCAAAATACTTATTACAAACTTTTAAGTCAATTTTAGAAACCAATTTCGGAGAATGGGACCTCCGAAATATCGACAAAATACATTTTCATAAAAAATTTAAGTTTCATTATTAAAAAAGTATGTGTGTATCCACTTACCTTCTCTTTCACCTTTTTGGGTGTCTGTGTGAATGTTGGTTTCTCAAACTTCTCCAACTCAGGTCGTTCATAATCTGGAATTTCTGGCAGTTCTTCATACTTGGGTTTGGACAATTTGGCGGGTTGTTTTGCTTCTTTTACCTCCAATGTCTTCTCTCCAGCCTTCTAATATTCATTCATTTACAGTATTTTAATCGAGATGATGTGATTGTTGCAATATATTTTCTAATATTGCAATATGGCATTTATAAAGTCCATTTATGTAGTGTACTACATGGATGGATAGTGCAGTCAAATCACGATATTGAACATATAGAGAAATACATATAAAAACATATTACATTTATATTAAATATTTATAGAATGGGGGTTCTCAAATTATAGTATTAAATTTCGTAGATATTGATAGTACAAGTTTTGATACACAAAAGGCTACTATTATTTTTTGTTTAATGATGCAACCAATGTCAGCAGAATTAGAAACTATTTTAGAGAACATGTATTCTTTTTATAATTGAATGAGTCACTAGAACTATGGTCACTTACTAGTAATAAATAAGCAAACGTAACAGTCCTATTGAATAACTCAAGTATATTTTTTGGAAAATGAACTCGAATTATTTAGTCAGAAAATGCTGCTGTATATAAATATTGAGAACCCCTTATATAACACATAGAATATAAATAATAGTTTGTTAGACACATATGCAGTGCAGAGTAAAAGAATATTTCGAAACATATAAAATAAGAGTACATCAGAGTAGACACATATATAGATAAAGTTTCAGCGTTTATGCTGATGATTATGATAATTCTGATCAGCAATTGAGTACCAGAGTAGAGATAGTCTTGTTAATGCTGAAGAATCGACATCTATATAATTATTTACATTACTGACGACATATAGAAATACACAGAGAGGTGAAGATTCAAGAAACAGATCAGTTGCAGATATTCCGTGCGACAGTTCAGATAGCTATTTGAGTAATAGCGCGTTACCTTCAACTCAATTTCTGAATTCACAGCCTTTTTTGGTTCTACCTTTTCTCGGACAACTGGTTTCAGCTGGATATCTATAAAACCTCGTGTTGGACCTTAACAGGTTTTAAAGGTCGCTTCGATTTTGGTTTTGTCGCATCAGGTTCGGTAGATTCATTCTACATTAGTATATATCATAAATCAAAAATATCTATACAATACGGATATTTATAGAAATCCGTTTGGTAAATATTGTCAGTTGTGCTGGGAAACCTGGAAATAAAATGTTTTATTGCTGTGCAAACTTACCTTGAGTGTTTTCTTCAGAGTGACTTCTTCTGCCTTCTGCTCGATGGAAACATTGTTTGATAATGGAAGTTGTGAAGACGCAGCAATGGTTCATGAAAAAGAAATTTATATTAATATTTTATAATTAATGTCGATAAAAAATCAAAAGCTGTAGCTGTAAGTAAGCCAGTTTAGTGACATATAATAAGTAGATAGTGCAACATAGAGATTAGCACTAAAAAAAATATTCTGTTAAATTATAAGGCAATTGTGTTCAAGTTTGCTACTCTTGCCAAAAACTTTGTATATTGACAAAATTCCAAAAGCAACTTCAGTGTCTCAATAAAATTCTAATTTATCTACAAAAATATTTAGTATTTGTTTTCGACTTTTTGCTATTTGATGTGTAGTCTTTAAGCCAGAACAAAGGCATAAGTTAGTTTTTAAAAATGTTAATCTTTTAGAAAAAGTCCGTTGAATTGAGTTCTTCAATTTTACAAAAATGCCAATAAATCATAATAAAACTGTTGCGTAGACTCTAAAAAAATATATTATTACTTAAAAAACTGCAAAATAAAAAACATTTAGAATCTTTGGTAGAAGCCATAGAAATTCATAATAAAAAATGATAAGTGAAATTCAGATTTAAGAAAGAAAGTGCAGATAGCGACAGTTTTGCAATTTGCAAAGTGAATGCTGCAAATCTTTACCTGTGGGACAAGGTTATTAACATTCTTTTTAAGGGAAGGTTTATCTGTTCCAGGAGATGTTTTTTCTGGTTGTTTTGATGGTTGTGTATCTTTTGATTTTGGTGTTTTACAATCACTAGGTTTAGCAGAAAGTGTATCTTTGACTGTGTCTTTTGGCGTTTCTTTGGGAGCGTCTGTAGTTGGTTGCTTGGGTGTCTCTTCTTTAGGACTTTCAATTTTGTGTCAACTACTTTCGGAATTTCTTCGGATGGTTTTTGGCAGGTTTAGTGACATTGTTACGAGTTGGCGTTGGTTCGTCAACAGATTCCGATATATCGGAAACAACACTGTTAACTGATTACGCTGCTATCTGCAGTTGGTTTAGTTAGTGAAGGTTTGCGGACTCCAGGTGTCTTTTTTTCTGGTTCCTACATAATTGATACATATGTAATATGGCAAAGGACAGTGACAACGATTAACATGCACACGTATATAACAAAAATAAACTCAAAAATTTTGCGTTAAAACTTTGAACATAAATATGGTATGACTAAATATGAATTACTGAAACTCTTTATGAATTCATCAATTCAGTCAGAGTTTTATTTACTTAGCACAAGAGTTTGAAGTTGTGTGTATTATTTACAATTTACTTAAATTTTTTAGTTGTAACATATTAATAAAACGACATGAAACTATTGACATTTATCACATGTAATGTTTGAAAATAAAGATTAAACATGTATATTTGTCTACCTGTGCTGTTTCTTTTTTCAAACCGAACTTCTTGGTTTTAGTTCAGCGACGTTATTTGTTTCAAGCTGTGAAATGTCGGGTAAGTTAAGATTGTATTATATATGTGTGTTTAAATATAAAAAATATAATTGTATAAAGAAATGTATACCTTTCAGAAATTGTTTTTTCAGCAACGGATGAGCGTCTGGATTCGCTCCTGGATTCACTTCGCGATTCACTCTTATATTCTTCGAGCTGAAAAATTATAAATGAATTAGAATTGAATATTTGGATCATATTCAAAAATACGGTTCCATACTTACTTCAACTTTTTCGCCATCTTTCATTGTAAACTGGAATATGAAATATTTATATTAGTATATAATAATAACGGTATACAACGACTTTAAATGACTATTAAAACAGCAGTTCCCCAAAACGAATAAAATAATTGAGAAAAATTAATTATTAATAAAATTTTCGAAGAAAGCTTTTGTATAAGAAGTTTAAATATATCTTACTGACCTTCTCTGTTTAATAAGCGATTGGCGACGACTTTCAGATTTCTCTTCAATTTTCTGAACAGACATCTTACGTTGAGTTGTTTCTTTCTTTTCTTCTTGTTTGCCATTAACAGCCTAAATTATAATACATTTATATAAGTAATATATATTTATTAATGTTATTATATTATATTTATACGAAAAAATATAAAAAAATACCTTTTCTGGAACCTCAACTGGTTTGAGTTGGACGCCCATTATCTGTTTCTTCTGTGAAAAGTAATTTGAAAAATAAATTAGTTTGACTTCTACGTATTACTCAATGCTACCTTATTGATAAATTAAAGTTCTTGACAAAAAATATCAAAATAATTAACAATAAAGTGTAATTTTATCTTGAGACACAAAAAAAAATCAATGTAAAAAGTTGATTATATTTTCACATATAACGTTTAATTTTGTTATTTACAAGAATTATAGACAATTACGATTAGTAAATGAATAGAAAATATGGTAACATATAAATTAGTAAAATTATTTATTTTAAAAAATTATATTAAAATGTATCTCAGTACCTCTTCGTCATCTTCATCTTCATACTCATCAGGAACCGAGATGATCGGAGTTGGTTCTTCATCAGACTAGATCGAATGTTAGTCACAAGATTCATTATTTACAAACATAGAACATATAGAACATCAATTAACGAGCGCAATAAATATACAAATTCAAATAATCTTTTAAAAATAATAAATTTAATACAATGCAATAAAAAATATCGCTTATGGAGATGTAAAACTGGAAACACAAAACACATTTTGTAATTTGTGTTAAAATTTATTTAAAACGAAAAAATCTTTCTTTTACTTTTAAATAGTAGTAGAAACAGCTAAAAATCGAAACATATTTGAAAACTTGTTTTTGAATTTAATACTTTTTTCTCGTAATTGTGACAATAATGTATTTTTATTGCGCTATTTTGATACTAACAATAAGTCATTTGTTATTTACAATTATAATCATATAAAATATGGATTGACTTGATTGTAAAATATACTATCATGTGGTGAAAATTATTAATTGACAACACAATTCGTTCGAGAGATAATTATCCTAGAAAAGTGCTAAAAGTAAATAAATTTAAAAATGTGCCAGAGAAGTATAATTTTAAAATTTACTTGTTTAATCTATAGCATATTGAATATATTAAATATCGATTTAAAAATATTCCTATGTGTTTCAATAAACAATGGTGAAACTATTATGGATATATGATGGATAAAATCAGTCCTTTCTTAAAATTTGAGAAACTGGAAAAGCTAAAGTATCTTCAGAATAAATGAACACTTCATAGTGAATTCAAGTGTTATAACATAAATAGTTAAAAACATATATAACATAAATAGTTCATTTCGTAAAGTATTGATTTTTACCTCTTCTGGAGCTTTTTTGGGCGTTGGTTTCAATTTAATAGCATCTAATTTTTCTTCCTTCTTTTCTACTGTCTTCTTTGCAGCCTTCTTCTCTTCCGCAATCTTCTCTTCGAGCTTTTTCTTTTCTTCCACTTTCTTCTCTTCTATCTTCTTTGCTTCCGCTTTCTTTTCTTCTTCTTGCTTTTTCTTTTCGACCTCCTTTTTCTTCTCTTCTTCTACCTTCTTTTTCTCTTCTTCCTTTTTCTTTTCTTCTACCTTCTTCTTCTCTTCTTCCTTCTTTTCTTCTTCTTCCTTTTTCTAATGTAAAGTAAATATGAATAACAAATCTAACCATAGAATTTAAAAAAATAATATTAACCTTCTTATCTTCCTTAAGAACTAATCTGGCAGAAGATTCGTCTTGGCCAAATTCATTGCTGACTACAACTCGGTAGCTCGCAACGTGTTCAGTTTTAACTGTAGATATTGTGAGACGAGCAATTTGTCCATCAAATGTTGTTTTGTAAACTGTCGTCTCCTTAATGATTGTAGTGTTCTTGTACCAAGTAACTTTTACCTTCTTGTCAGAAGTTTTCAAACTGCACATAAACTCTGCCGATTTACCTTCTTCGATAGTCTAGAATTTCACAATAAAATTATTAGAAAATAGTTCGTTCAGGCATTACTAAATATGAAAAAATACATACAACATCAACAAGTCCTTTAACAATTTGTGGTTTTTCGCCTTTTTCTGGTTCAGGATCCGGTAAATCTAAGATCGTTACTTCTTGTGATGTTGCCTCGCCCTTTTCATTCTTTACAACCAATTTGTAAGTACCTTGATCTTTCTTTGTACATTCTGAAATTTCCAGTTTGACAGCAAATTCGCCCTAGAATAAACAATATATTACAGTTTTTGGTTGCATTACATGTTTAGGAATACATATAATGATATTTACATCTTTAATTTGTTCGACATTAACGGTATGTCTGGAACTTTCCCTGATAGCGCTAGTCTCCTTGAACCATGTACATTCTGGAGCAAATTTACTCACAACATTGCATTCAACAATAACTGTACGCTTTTTAATAATCTTAATAACTTTTGGTTTTTCTTTAATTACTGGAACCACTTCAATATTAAGCGTAAGATTGGCATTTAGTTCTCCCATACTGTTTTTGATGTTACATTTGTAAAGACCAGAATCATCCATTCCAGGATCTTTGAGTTCTAATTTGATGTAATATTCATCACCCTTTTGATCCATGGTAATCTTGATTCGGCTCGACTCCTTTACAACTTGACCATCTCTTGTCCATACGATGGTAGGAGCCGGATTGGCTTTCACTTTGCAATCCATAATTACTAATTTTCCACCTTGTTGTGAAACAATTCGTGGTTTTTCGATGAACGTGGGGCCATCACCTTCTGGTTCTGGCTCAGCTTCAATATTTAAATTCAAGTTGGCATTGCTTTCACCAAATTCATTCTTGACGTTACACCTATAAGTACCACCGTCTGGACCGCTAGGATCCTGAATGTAAAATTGTAATTTATTAGTATGAATTGTTTCGAATAATACCATAAATCATCGTACCTTGATTTCTAGGGTAAGTTCAAATACTTCTTCTTCTACATCTACCGTTCGTATTTTAATTTTACTCGATTCTTTAACGACTGTGGTTCCGCGATACCAAACGACATCAGGCTTGGGCTTAGCTTTACATTTACATTTCATTGTTATTAACGAGCCTGTTTCATTAGGAATAATTCTTGGTTTTTCGATGAACGTTGGCGCGTATCCTGCAGCATCATCACCGCCTATAAAATATATCATTTAGATACATTCCAAGACAGGTGTTTGAGTGCCCTACACTAAGTCCTGACTAAATTTTATGAGCGCATGAGATATTTGTCCAAAATTTCTGCCACTTACATTGTGCACTCCACTTACCACTTTCAATACAGCATCACCAAACTTAGACTGAAATCAGACAATAACAACACTATTATTATATTATATAAAGTAAAGTAACTACCTTGGAAGTTAAGAGCTATATTGGCATTGCTTTCACCATAATTGTTGAAAGCGTTACATCGATAATTTCCACCATCTTCTCTAGTCGGATTAGATATTTCAAGAGTTAATATATACGTATCCTTGCCGGTTGCTTTTCTGGACATCTTAATTCGTGAGGTACCAGCAATGACTTTTGTTCCTGATACCATGTTATATCGGGTACCGGATGTGCTTCTAAGTGACATTCCATTATTAAAATGTCACCCTCTTGTCTAATCGTTGGCTTTTTAGGAAACCTGGGAGGCTTTCCATCGGGAATTCTATTTGTGATCAAAAGTAAATCAATACCAAAGTCATAACAAGTTTAATTCGATTAAAAATCGAGCTGTGCTCGTACTTAGGTTTACCGCCACCCTCAAAATTCAAGTTAATCGTCGCAATGCCTTCGCCGTGTTTATTTCTCGCAACAGCTCTGTATTCGCCTTTGTCGGAGTCTTTAACCGAACTTATTTCTAAGCGTGCCATGTGGTATAATTTTTGGTCTTGCTCAAGGGATATTTTGTACCTGCCGCCATCCTTGACTTCTTCCTTGCCGTGGTACCTGTGTAATTCAAACAATTGACACAAAATATGTTCATGATATCATATGTGATGCCTGATGCCTGATGTCTTACCAAACGACCGTCGGTTTCGGGTCGCCGGCGCAGCGGCATTCGAAGGTGATCTTGCCCCCGTCGTCGGCCTGCCTGATGACCGGTCGTTCGGTGAACGTCGGCTTGATACCGTCGTCGGGCACAGGCGCTTCGTCGCCTACATCAATCAAATCCACCTGAACGCTACGCTACTGTTCACGCTACGCGCACACCACTCGGCGTGCGCGTTATTACATAACATTCACACGAATTTTATAAACAATCCCCAAATGCAATTTCATTATTATTAAACAACAACAACAAAATCACATTCGATAATAATAATTATAAGAAACCTATTAAAGTTTCATTTCAGTGATATAGATCTGCAATATCACCCAGGTCCACCAAGCTACCCATAACAATTTGTAAAACTAATATGAATGTATGTAAATCGTATTTAAATAATGTAATAAATGAAACAAATGTAAATGTTTTGTAAACATTTACGCCTACTCTGAACCTATTCTAAAATAACATCTAAAAATATTGACAAGTGAAAAATAAAACTACTAAAACTACAAATAAAAATCAAATTGTGCATGTTAGCAAAGCTTGTATTGTGGAATCGTCATTTAATTAAGCTCCGAATTGATTATGGGTATTAAATTATTTTTCCGCATAAACTTTTCAACGAGTTATATACAAAAATGATTTAAGTGCATCGATAAATGCGGTATTAAAAGAAAGATGAAGTGGAACTTTTTAAGTTTTATGGAAAAAAGCCAATAATCTTGTGAATGCAACGAAAACCATCCGTTCTCCACAAATTTACTCAATAAAACAATTAAGTACAAAACCTTACTCTATGATTATATAATTATTAACACATAAATGACTTGGTATCAACATCTTATACGAATTCGTACAGAAACCAATAAATCACAAAAAAACATGACGACTGCACAGCTGTTTAGAAATTAAATAATTGAGCTAAATTTAAACTCCGTATATATAAATTAGAACGTGTGCACGTAGGGCATCGGAACCGAGCGTGATGCATTTAATAATAGAATTTATATATATATATATATATATATATATATATATATATATATATATAAGTGTATGGCTACTTGTACTTGTACCTTCATAAGATGTTGATACGAGTCATATTATACTTTCAATATTAGTTAACAAATAATGGCAAAATTAACAAATGCAAAATAACACGATAATGCATCCAAATTTTATATTACATTGATTCCTATAATATATACAGAAAAATGTTATCACGACAAGAAACTGCAAAATGTGCACGTAAAGCTTTTCGATTCTTCAGATCAATATGACTCCTTGCCATAATATTAAAACTATTTTTTATAAAACAAAGACTTCGATAGATTAGAAAATAATTTATTTCGCACTGAGGTTTCCAAAAACCTAGTTAGAATCCTGTCAAATCATTTTGAAAGAAGATTTTGTTTTATTATTGTTACATCATTTTGAAAATACATTGCGATTTCTTTTTTGGATTTAATAACTAAATATTTTAATATTGCAAATAAATATAAATATTATGAAATTATTATTTATTCAAAAGACGACGCGGTTTTTGACTACGAAATAATAAAACTTCGTGAGAAATTTAAAAAAAAAAGAATGATAAAGAATAATGTTAGGTATAAGGAGTATTTGCTTTAAGGCAAGTCGTAAAAACTTCCAATTAAATATATAAAGCAACTTAAAATTGTTTCTTTTTGAAATTTTGACGCTGCTCTATATTCTAAATGATGAATTTTTATGGCATTATTTTCCAATTTTGGTATCAAACGATTCAAAATATCTTGAAACATCAAAAAAAAAACTTGCAAATCGAAAAACAAAAGTTTTCGCAAAGATTTTTTTTCGGAAAGTTAATAATAAAAAATTCAAATCGGGTCAATATCATCTGAGAATCTTTATTATTTATTATTGTTTGCCATCAAAATGCATAACAAATATTGAAAGTATTCGACAAACAGTAAAAACTAATCGTGAAGTATGATATAAATACATTTAAGGTAAATGATTGAGTTGGATTGACTCAATATTTAAAAAATAACGTGTGTGAAAGTATAATTATTAAATAAAGTGTCTGTTTTAAAAGTGAATAGTATGTCTATTATTAGCATATTTTTAATACTATTCTAGTATTATTGTATGATATGGATGAATATTAGAATCTCGAGTGAATATATTTCAATCTCGAGTTAATACAAAAACACATCGCTAATGACTTAACTTCAACTCAACGTTAAAACACTGCAAACATTTTACAAAACGTGGAATGATTTGCATCGAAAAAATGTGAAATATAAACAAAATGATAATTAGAAGCCACATATAATGTTGGGTATGGATGAAAAGTGACTCTATCAAATAGATAATAAATAAAATAAAAAAACTTACTGTCGAAGTTCAAGCTGATAGTCGCATTGCTTTCTCCAAGTTCATTCTTTGCAGTCACACGATATTTGCCAGCATCCTCAACAGTGACATTTTTAATCTCGAGTGAAGCAAAGTATGAATGACCATCTTTGTCAACCATCAACTGGAAAACGAAATTAAATATTAGTTAACAACACAAACAAACAAAACTTATAAACAATTACAAACGTGGTAGATTAACTTAAAACAAGTGCAAACTAATAATGCAGACTTGTGGATTGTAGATTTAAACTATTCGCGACATACATTTATTCAAATTTAGACTGATTGTGTAGAAACTTTGTAATATGTCTTTTATTTCTAGACGTACTTTTCATTAAAGTTCTTAAGATTTCTTCACAAACTCAGATACTTTCTCATTTTCATTTAAACGTTTTTTGTGTCATATTTATATATCCCAAAACTAACATATTATTAAATGTGTGAAGGCAACCATCTAAAATTATGTTTACAAATATTAAACAAAAATATAATTTTATTATTATAGCTTATTGAATCTGATTTGGTTATTATGGGTTGTCTTTGAGGTAAGTTTATTATCTAAACCCATCATTCCATACAGAATTCTATAAGCTTTAGAAATACTGAAATTTGATCGCTCCTATTTTATATTAATAGCGATCATTTCAGTACAAATTAAAAAAATAAATTATTGTATCTTAATATAAAATCGCCAACGCCCAAAATCGCATGAACATCTTTAATTCTAATATCTCCTACATAAAAATTCTTGTGATTGTATTTTACTACCCCTGCCATATATTTTTGTCCCAAATCAAAAATACTTAATCAAATTTACAAACTAATCATCAACCTTGTACCATTTAATCATCATGGATTGGTACAAAATTGATGATTGGTTGGTAAATTTACTTAAAGATGACCATCCGTATGTAAAACAGTAAACAAATAAAAGTATTTGTTTCAAAATTTATGGATGGATTAACAGTTGCAACGATTAATTAGTTAGTAACATGTAAACATTTTTTGTTTTGTGATCTAGTTTTATATACATTTGAAGTTTACGCGTTTTTAACAACTAGAATATTGTAGTTTGATAGCTCGAAAAAGATTTATTATGAAAAATTTAAGGGTTAAGACCCTCGATCTTGCAACCACAAGATTGTAAGTTCAAATTCTGTACTATGTACATCCTGATATCACGCAATAGTGATATCAGCTTTTATATGAGAACATAGATCAGAAAAATATATTTGCAAGTGAAAATAAGCCCCCGAGCACCGCTGCGCAAAAAAATGTATATTTATTGATTCATTGATTTTTTATTGAATATGACAAAGTCAATATGACAAATTTTCAATAGAAAATATTCCGAACGCATATAATAGAGTATATAAAATGCGAGCTTCAATAAATTAAAAAACAAATAAAAATAATACTTCGTACACACCTTGTGTCTTGGTGAGTCCTTAACAGGGTTGGTATTGTGAAACCAAGCGACTGTAGGTTTAGGATCAGCTTGAATTCGGCATTCAAAGAGCAAACGTTTGCCATCATCCTCTTGCCGGATAGCCGGTTTTTTAGAAAACGTAGGAGCTATGCCGTCGATTTGTCTAGACAATAAATTTATGGATAACACAATCATTTATAGAACTATTTATTCATGCTCAAGTATCTAGATTAGTGTTAGAAAATTCATATTAGTACTCACGTTGTTAAATCCTAGTTGGTGTTATGGAGATGCAAACATCTATGTTAGTTTATTAGGGGTTGACTATTTAAAAACAAACGCGAGTAAATTATACTCACTTCATCCTTTGTTGATCAGCCGCTAAAGGACAAGATCAAAAAAGCGTAATTAGTATACACATCTAATATAGACAAGAAAAAACATACATTTGTGTAAACAATAATACTACATACAATCAAACTAGAATCAAGCAGATGGCACATTGTTTAATATACACAGGTCGGTATATTTTTGTTATAAGGGTGGATTTGTTATAATGTTATTGTTGTAGACTGCACGATACGACATTTATGTAAAAGTTGTAAAGCGTATCACATTGACAAAGTGTTTAGACTAGTTTTGAGTTAAGTAAAAGTATTCAAAGTTGATGGTGTCCAGTGTAAGCCATCTGCTCACCTTTCCTTAGGGTCATCAGCCGCTGAAACGATACACGACTGTGTCATAATATGAAAGATACTTCATTTTATAAAAAATGCGCGACATTGATCTTAATTAGATATTTGTATATGTGATATATAAATTCTTAACGATATGTTTTAGTTTTGTATAATTACTAGGACACTTACGACTGAAATTCAGATTGATGGAGGCTGCGACTTCGCCCATTGTGTTTTTGGCCTTGACCTTATAAAGGCCGGCATCGGCTTCGACGACATCGTCCAAGTCTAGTACGACAAAGTACTTGTCGCTTCCGATCGACTGTATTTTGAATTTCGTTCGGCTGTCCTCTTTCAGTAGGGTCTCGCCACGGTACCATTGAATTTCGGGTTTGGGCTTAGACAGCAACTGACACTCGAAGACGAGGCGGTTGCCATCGTCTTCTTGTCTCAGTTGCGGTTTCTGCGTGAAGCTGGGAGCAAAGTCATCTGCCACTCCCATGCTTCTGTCGAGTGTCTAGCTCGTCACACGAGACATCCACTTCACCCTGCAAACGCGCGACAAACGGTTTGTCAGTTGTCAGTTCTGATATTATACGCTCTCAAGCAAGTAGCAAGTAGCAAGTAACAAATAGCAAGTCGTTTGCTCGCAAATCGAAATTGAAACCGATTTCTTGGCAAACACCCCAGATTTCACACATTTATATAACTCAACACGGCAGATTAAAAACTTAATCTCGAATGAAGTTACTCAAATAGAATAATGCGTCACAGAAACCAAATTCCTGTGCTCCGTAAGTAAATATTTAATACCGCGGAAAAGTAGTACGATTCATTCATTATTTATTCTATCTAACATTCATCATCATCTCATTTTTAAGCTAATACTATTCTTTACCCAAGAGTGAAATTATTACTGCATTTATGCAACACAATGCTCGATGCGAATCCTTAGAAATAGATTCGCGCCGCTTGTAGTTGTGGCATATAAAGTGGGAAACTAATAATAACGCGGTAGTAAATGAGAACTGCAGAGCAAATATTCGGCCTAGTTAAGCGGTTCCACCTGTGTCGCCAGCTTGGAACACGTTACCCTATTTCGCGACGCGTCGCGTTGACCATGCTCTACATGCTAGCACCTACACGTCGCATATTATTAGAACTTGAAAAGATGGTGACCGAATGATTTATTTGCCCGAAACAATCAAAGTGACCAGACCGATTATTCTAGAAGACGGCGCTATAAAGCACTCAATTAGAAATATGTTTTTTTTTGTATGAAATTCTTGTGATTTTGCGCCAGGAAACAAACATACAGATAAAATTCTATGAATGGGACAACTTTCGATTGTTTTACTTCATATTTTCTAATTATCCAACAAAAATAGTAACTTTATATATGCAATTGTTCGCTATTGAATAGGTAATCGGTTCTCAGATCCGTATAAAGCATTATCTCAAGAGAGTCAAAACAGAAAATGATTGAAAACTAAAGGCAGATATGAAACTAGATTACATAACAGCTATGTTATTTATTTTAATACCAGACCAAACGTAACCGTCACTAATACACTTGATATTTTTAAATAACTTTAATGTTACTGTTTTAAATTTATATTTGTTTATCCAAAAGTAAATAGTTTCAAAACGATTTGCGACAAAGCTTATTTATATAACATTTGAAATTAAAAAAATTCAATTTTATTTAAAAATGCAATTATTATACAATTTAGTTCATGCTATCCTTGTGCATAACTAAATCATATTTGTGGATATATTTTCAACTTTTTAGTCACATATAATTGTCTTGCTTGAACTAAGTTACACATTTATTTATTATCACTGCAATCTAATAATGTTTTGTCCAATATAACTTAAACCAAATGAAAAGTTTAATTTATAGTTACATACTATACTGATATTTTAAAATAATCGTAATATTTTATAAACACACAAACAAATTTCTTAAGCACAAATGGGCGATCTTCAAGCACAGTAGGTCACCAATGATCTATAGGTTTCACTTACGATATGGCGTCGGTGACTGCACAAGCAGCTTTAATCCGCAAGTACGTGACAGCAACTCACTGCACACCAAACACAAAACGTAACAAACTTACTGCAAACAATATTGGCAAAAAAATATAATATATAATAGCACGATCACTGCACACTGAACGTATCCCTGCAGCACGGGACTAAGAGGTAAATATAAATTATGATCTGTCGTATGTTTACTCTGTTCTCGTATCGCACCACTCGATTTCGTTTTTTCGCGATCCTAACCCGAATCCTTCGCAGCCGACCGAAGCACTGATTGACCGAAACCGTTTCTAAACTCCGATAGAACGGACTCCCACCCACCTCATCGAGATGCTTGCCCCTCGCCCCTTAATGTCAGGATACGAGAGGATTACGACTCACTCAGGTCGAATCCGCCCACTGATCGCAGCAGTCGTGCGACCTTCGCGCTCGTATCTATCGGTTTCTCCTCGGCTGCTCCAAAGCGAAGACGAGCGGCTGCATTCGACTCGCGAGCTCCAAAGCGCGAACTACCGTCGACGGACGCTCGTTCACGAACAAAAGTGGCCCTATAGCTTTAGATTCTAATTGCAAAGCAGTGAAAATGGGTTTCAGATCATTGAAGCCTGTAATGCGGCCACATAGAAGACAATCAACCGAAATCGCGGTTACAGAAATAAACGACGACGCCTTTGTATTTTTAGACGCGTGTTCGTTCAGAGCCGAACGTCCGATCGGACGCGGGCGAACGCTGCACATCATAGAACGGTAGCCAGTAGCGGGGTAATTCTAGACGCCGCTCGCCGGCCCATATAAGAACTGAGCCGCCGAGCCGGGGTCGAACGGCGCGCATGCGACAAACGACCAACGACCAACGACCAACGACCGACGACGACGACCGACGGACGAACGATGTACCATGTCGCTGGGGAAGGACTTACATCTTCAAATGATAGAGGAATTGTGCACTTAAACGTCAATATAATAGGGCTCCTAATATAACAAACTTATTTTCCATGGCTTATTTTTGATCAATCATATGTAAAATTACAATTCATATGACATAGTTGACCAGTTCGATATCATACACATTCTATTATAATGTCTACTAAAAAGTTTCTAGTATATAAGCTTTCATATACAAATTAATATCATTATAATGCACAAAATAGATAATGATTATAATGCCCAACTTTTATTTACAAGCGGTGCTGATATTGCATTTACTTCAATATGTTTTTTCAATCCATTAGGTCATCCAAGAAAACAACGAGTCAAACATAACGCTCTTCGTATTCGTGATAGATACCTACAAAATCAAAATAGAATGAAATTCCAAACCCATGTGATGTCTAAATCAACGCTTTTTGTGAATCATTCGTGGTGAATCAATTTACTAATATACTTGCATTCGGAATAAATATTACTAATTACACAATTGCTATTATAACGATAATAATAATATAATAATTATGAAGGTAATACGACATATAAAATTAATCTTTCTGAATGTACACAATGATATATAATTCTAGCATATGAGCCGTGCAAAGTAGTACTGTAGTGTCATCCATTCTGAATATTCAGCCTCCTTGTCCTATATTAGAAAATAGATCAAGGTTCCACAGGATTCAACTCACCTGCATTAATTTACGAATTAATTTACTTTTCATTGCCGGTATGCTTCTGTTTATAAAACATAATATACAAACGGATGTATATATATATATATATATATATATATATATATAAATTATACACAAAATGTTTTTTTATAGAAATCCATTAAGTTATGAGAGTAAAAATTAACTTCCGTTAAAAATTTTAAGTCTTCTTCAGTGAACGAATAAAAAAAAGTAATATAAAAATATCTAAAATTATAAAATAATCAAGTGTATTTAATGAAGAACAAATTATTAAAAAATATGTAAATTTAAAGAGAATAAATTATAACATATAAAAAAATATAGAGAAAACTTACCACACAAATTATTCATTTATTAATTTTTCCTTCCTGTATCAGGTATGTTCTGTTGATCATTATTTTATTATATTTATATTGTGTTTTGTAAGTTTATCCAAAGTTTATATTTAAAAAAAAAAAACTTAGTATTTCATTTTATTAACTGGATGAATGCTTGTATGAAAAGTTTTTTGTTCACTACTGTATATCTTTTACCACCTGAAAGTTTTATAAAAATTATTATTATAAATTTAGAAAAAAAATGTTTCAAAGCTACTTCTGAATGAAGCTTCCGAAGTGAATATCACATGATCGAATTAATGAATTGAAGAGTAAAAACACTTCTCTAAAATAATATATGAGAACATATTTAAGTACATGCATTATCATTCAAGAAAACATTTACTAAATAAGTTCTATATATTTAAAAATGTAAAATACATTTTTATTAGAATAAAAACATTAATAAAATTAATTATCGACTTAATATACATATAATAACTTTCACATATAATAAATAAGTCAAGTATTTATATATATTAGGATAGGTCAAATTTTTTGGCCGTTACAATTTTGTTTCTATGGGTCATTTCAAAAACTTTGCCAAAGAAAGCATTCCTCAAAACCTATAATATTTAAAGAAATGATTTACCCTTTATCGTAACTTCACTCATATAACCAAATTGGAGATGGACTTTTTGCTCGACATATTACGGTTGGACCTGCCCTATATATATATATATATATATATATATATATATATATATATATATATATAAAAGTACCTAATAAAAATATAACTTAGTCAAATCCTATAATCTGAAGGCAATATCAATTCAATCACCTCAAATTATAGTTATATAGATAGAAATATTACATTGAGATAATCGAATAGAAAAATAAAATATTTTATTCATTTGATGTAATATAAAAAATATATTTATATATTTACTTCTACACTAAGGTTACACAGTATAAGTCAAGGATTCTTAACATTTAACAACATACGCTATCTGTTTGATTGTGAAAATTAAAAAGTAAAGCGTTTTTACTACTGTGAGTAAATATCGATACATTTAAACTTCCAATGTAATTATTGTAATAAATCCTATTACATTAGTATCTCCTTGTTTAAAATCCGTCCTTGTCATAAACGTGGCAATCGTTAATTATAATTTCTATATGTAAGACCACTTGCAAAATTTTTTTTAGAAGCACACTTCTATGTGCTATATTTAATTTCTAACAAATCACAACACCGATATATCTTATGTTATTTGATATTGGATGAAATAAAGTTTTCCGGTAGAGATTGAATAGATTTCTTTGTTTGATTTTTGCTAATAAAAATAATCTGATACTAGCGAAGCGTTTAGATTAGTTTTAACAACTGCTTTTTTAACATCAATTGAATTTATTTTAGTGAAAAATATTTATTGTAAGTAAACATCATATAAAATGCACAACAATAACTATCGATTTATATTTATTTTTAGTGTAGACTATTGTAAGTATTAATTATATTTTTTCATGTTGCTACAAGCCGAATGTGCAATATTTTGTTTATGAAATTTTATATTTTTTATGAAGCACTATATCCCATAAAATATATCGTTTTTTTAAAAAACATATTTATAAATATTATTAAACGTTTACAAAAACCTGTAATAGTGTCAGAATTTTCTTACGTTCTAGGTTGTTGCCATACTAGATTTGTTACTATAAAATACATAAATCTTGATTTTTTTCATATTTCATAAACTTATAGCTAGATATTCGAGCAAAGAAGACAAATACGGAAAGTGGATTTAGTTTAGAAAAATAAATAAAACGACTTGGCGAATCTGATTTTGTTGTAAGCGTGAAATTATTACTGAATTGAGCAAATAATAATAAAATTATTAGTTTTTTTTTTAAATCCTGATAAATTCTGAATGCCATAATTATCTGATTATTTAACAGCTGATGAAATAAAATCTTCTGTTTATTTTAAATTGTGAAGTTTCGAGAAAATTAAGCGTCTCAACATTCAGCAACAAAAGATTGCAACCAAAACACACAATTTAAATAATAATAATCCTTGAAAAATTTGATAGAAAAAATGCTATAATGTAAAAAATATAACGTATTAACGTATTAGTAAACAGAGGTTAATATATGTAATTTATATAGCCAGACAAAAAAAAACCTCTATATTCAAGTTTTTTTTTCTTGAAACGTATATTAACTATCAAGTACATACAAATCAATTCAAAACTAAACATTTATATTAAATCAATTTCAAACAAAATAAAATCTGAAGAAATGTACTCATTTGATATGTTTTTAAGCAAGTAAGATTCATTATCTTATGAAATAAGAAATAATTTTCTTTTTTAAGGTGATATGGCTGGCAATAAACCAACAACGAAAATAAATGGTAATAAAAACGAATCAAAAGTAAGAAGAAAATCGAAGTATTCTTGTGATGGCACTTCATCTGAGAACCCAAATAAATCAGTTGATGATTTATCTGTTTTGCACAAGAAGTTCATACCATTAATGCAAAAATTATAAATAAAACAGTAATAGACTATTCACGGTTTCATGAATACCCAAATCCTAGCGTGCAACAAATTAAAGAAAAAATTGTCAAAGGAATCGATTTAAAGGGGTATTCTAGTCTAGAATTGTAAACAAATCGATTTTGTTTTTTTGCATA